TATTCTATTCTATTCTATTCTATTCTACCCTACCCTACCCTACCCTACTCTACTCTACTCTACTCTATTGTTGGTCTAGCTTTATTCTTCATGTTAATCTCTGATTATCTAGGTGTTGATTCCTGGTAAAAGAATGTTTTTGCTTCCTCCTTCCCCTACCACCCTAATAAGTGTATAGAAATTGGTCATGAAATCAGGTTTCCCTGCCGTTACTTCAACTGCACTAATGCTCTTTTGATTTGTTAAAAACAATAGGATGTTCTTTACTAAATGTTATTTTGAGCTATTTCAGTAATACACCATATTAAATAAAATCTAAAATGTTAGATTTCATGTAACAGTTTGAGAATACATAAACCAGTAATACAGAAAATGAATTTTCCCCCTGAGCTATTAACTATAAATATATCCCCACTTAATAAAAGATAAACACAGGCAACTGTAAATAATGTTTTTATTGTGTTTGAGAGCTAAAGTAAAGCCTAATACCATTTCTGTCTTTCTCATAGGTTGAGAAAGGATTTTTGCATCCTTATATATACTTTTGTGTTTTATAATTCATTGCAGGACTTATGTTTTAATGCTTTCACAAACATCTGCAAGCAAGGCACTGTAAATTTCTATTGCTATATGTTCATTCAAGGACTTGTAAAGCTACATTTATTGGGGTAATGCTCTGTCCCTCCTCTCTTCTTTATCAGCCAAGAGTGACCTGGAGGCTATGACCACAACTGTATGCTTGTTTTTTTCAGAATTATATTGTAATCCCCCTTGAGCATAGGACATACTCAAGTTTGCTAAATTTCAATATATGGCTGCGTAATTTCCTTTTTGTCTATGCTCTGACGGCTATTTAAATTGAGATGTTCTAAAATCTGATAGTAATGATCTATGTATTTTAATTTGAAAATAGGAAAAAAACCATGCAGACATACGCTCTTACACAATAGCCCTTCGGAATTATTTTAAAATGCCGATCATGTAATTATGCTGTTCGTTTCTTTCACTGTATTTTTTTAGATTCAATACATTGTGACATTGTGTATGAACTGCAAGCCTTTTTTAATTCATACTGCTTGCTCAGTATCTTTTCAATATCAGTACATCAGGAGGTCAGCGTGTGTACTACAAATGTTGTCTCAGCACAAAATTACTGGCAAGCTTCAATGCTCTTATACTGACGGTGCTTTTTCTGTAGTTTTCTATCGGTCTAAGAAAGTTATTTGTGGCTAACTTATAGTTGCTGCTGCTGCTGCTGCTGCTGCTNCTCTGCACGGCTGGAAAGTGAGTGGGTATTCCGCTCACGCTTACGCACCTCCAAGCCTCATGATGCCCTGGCCCAACTCTCCCTGCAGAGCCAGGGCACCTTTGCTGCCACCGCCACCACCATCCCAGCATGCCTTTTTTGGCGGCTTCCAAACCGAATCTTCCAGCAGTGGCCACTCTGGGCGTATGCTCTATGGTTGTACGCTCAGCCGGAAGCTGGCCCAGGAGCATACTTGAGCTCCTGTAAGGATATAAATGTATTAAATAAAGGTTTGTTATACGTTCAGGTACTTTTGTGTTGAGTTTACGTTTACCGACAAAGAAATAAAGTATGTAAACGTAAATGCAACACAAAAATAGTTTGTTGCAAAAGTGACTGCCTGAGAAGGCTCCTAGATTGGGGGTGAAAGGCAAAAACGGAAGCAGTATGTTTCTGTCCCACAATTGGGTAAACCAGGATGCCCTGATAGACTGGTCTCATGAGAAAAACATTTCAGGTGTTTTGGTTGACACTCTTGACCGCTTTGCATTCTGTTTCATATGGCCGATCTCACTGAAATAACGGTATGATAAATAGTAGAAAAACAATGTTTAGCTAAGTATCTGGTCCATGTGGACAACCTATAGTAATTGTTAAAGTATAGGATGTAGTTTTGTTAATATGACAGAGGAAAAAAAAGAGAGCCGATATTGGATTGTGGGATTCAACCTCACCTTTTTTGTTGTGTCTGATTAGTTCCAGAACTTAAATTAAATTGTTTTCACATTTATAGGTATCCTGAATTCTGCCCCACTCCTCTTACCAGGACGACACTTACTGAATGCTAGTTTGTTAACATTAAGCATAGGTGGAATGGTTCCGTACATGATGGATCCAAGTTACACAACAGGGTTGACTTGCTTAGGATCTGTATCTGCCCTGTCTGCCGTAATGGTAAGTGTGAATCTATAATAAATTATGAATAGATATTCCAAATTTTAACCAGATGTGGTAAATAACCTGATCAGTCCTTCCTTCTGAGTACAGAGGATTCTAAAGAGCTTTTTAATTTGGTATGAATTCTTAAGCCTATCATTGTGAGCATCAAGAAACATAGAACTGGTCTGATGATTGCAAGTGGTGTTAAGAACCTCTTCACGTCTCCGAACTGTTGATGCAATTTAAGTGGGGGGGAAAAATAGAGACTTTAAGAGCAGGAGTGGCTGATCGTAGCCATGAGGGCTGCAGTGTGGCTTTCAAAACGCTTTGGGTGGACAAATAAATACCAACCAAGATAATATATGTAGTGGAGGCATTTTTGAAGTCTTTTGGGTTAACACATATTTTTAATGAGGATATAAATTCAGAAATCGTTTCGGAGAAAGATAGCAAAAATGCTCAATAGTATGGGAAGCAAACCTATGGAAAAGAAAGCTTGCATTACAAGGACTAAATAGAGATAGAGAAAGAATATGAGAGTTGTCTTTAAAGAATTGTTTGTTTTTTAAAAAGGCCAGACTAGAATTCATGGGATGGATATATTTTCAGTCACTGATTAAGAAAAACTTGTTCCTGATAAGAGCAAAACAACAGTGGAAACAATGATTTAAACAATTTAAAAACACGACAATCCAAAACTTTATATTAAAGCTGGGGATTTATTGGGAATGTTCCAGTTCCAGATGCACCTGCAAATTTACATACAAAAATTGTCTTTAATTTCAACTTATGACTTAAGCGGCTTTCTCTAGCCTTGTTTGATCAGAATTCCCAGGAATCCTGGCTAGATATCTAGGAATTCCAGGAATTACAATCCAACATATCTGGAGATTTCTTTTTGAGGTTAAGTCTGGTTTCAAGGATATGCAGAGTTTTTGAAATTACTGTATTTTTTGGAGTCTAAGATGCACCGGAGTATAAGACACACCAAGATTTTGAAGAGGCAAATTAAAAAAAAAGTTTTTGGGCTCTGCAGACCTCCCAAAACGGCCCGTTTTTTTGTGAAAACTGGCCTGTTTCCCCTCTCCCCAAAGTCATGAATTTAAGAGGCTTGTAGACTGCTCCTGGGGACTGGAGGGGGGGGGGGCAAAAACGAGTTAAAAATGGTCTATTTTTCACAAAAATGGGCCCATTTTTTGTCCAAAAAAGGGCATGCATTGTCTTTAGGAGATTTCCAGAGTGCTCCTGGGGGCTGGGGGCCTGTTTTTCACTCATTTCTGCCCTCCCCAGCCCCCAGGAGCACTCTGGAAATCTCCTAAAGACAATGCATGGACATTTTGGTGAAGGGGCGGGGTTTTGGGAGGCAAAAAATCCTGTATTCAATTTATAAGACGCACCTAGATTTTCAGCCTCTTTTTTGAGGGAAAAAGGTGCGTCTTATACTCCAAAAAATACAGTAACTAAGTTCTTTATAAAGAAAGAAGGTATCTGAGTAATGCTTTGTGGGATTCTTTTAGGCTGTCCTCATGGACATATTAAAAACTCAATTATGAATTCAAGTAGTTCTTGATTTATGACCATTTGTTTAGTGACAAATTTACAGGAGCACTGAAAACAGTGACTTACAAGCACTTAATGACCGTTGCAGCATCCCTGTGGTCATGTGATTGTAATTCAGGCACTTGACAATCATTGTGCATTTAGGATGGTTGCAGTATCCCACACTTCGCGACTTTCTCCACTGGCTTCCAACAAGCAAAGACAATGGGAAAACCGACAGAGAAGGTCACAAGTTTTGCTTAATGACTGCACTGCTTTATGATGGTTTTTCTGGTCCTTACTGAGTTCATAAGTCAAGAAATCTCTGAAAAATACACTCAGATATATACTACATTACTTTAAAACTTCCAAGTTGCAAACTTTTTCCGTTTTGAACAAATCTGTCCATATGTCTAACCTAGAAGTCCCCAGAAGTCAGTAGGAAGTGGAAAGGGTTTCTGGCACCCCACTTATGTAAGCAGTGTGCTGGGACCTAATCTTTTCCTGTCTTCTCCAGATTTCACTGTCTTTGCATACTGTAAAGTAATAATTTTACTGTGCAAGTTTTTTTTTTATACTTCATGGACTTACAGTCTCTTGGAATGCCACTTGTTCATAAGCAGAGCATTGTCTGTGTAATCATCTAAATTTTGTTTTATTTTGATGCTATATTTAGTATATTTAAAAGTTTCTACGAGTTTTGTTTTAAAGTAAGAGAGAATGTCTGCCACCTCTGGATTCTAATTACAAATGTTTTGAGTTAGTGATAACTGCCCGCATTAATATTTCAATTTTGGCTCCCCCCCACCTTTCCACAGGGAGTTACTTTGACAGCCGCTATTGGTGGTGCCGACATGCCTGTTGTTATTACTGTCTTGAACAGCTATTCCGGCTGGGCACTCTGTGCTGAAGGATTCCTGCTTAACAACAATTTATTGACCATTGTGGGTGCCCTGATTGGTTCTTCTGGGGCCATCCTGTCTCACATCATGTGTGTGGTAAGGAGATTTTGGAGATGTCCATTCCAACACTATCTGTTTCATTACATTTTCTCTGCCTGTGGGAAAAGCTTTTTATTGTATATTTTGTTCTCTTTCTGGGCATTTTCAGCCAGTTCCTTTTCTCCTTTCTTCCCTCTCCTCATTTTTGCACGTACATATCTTTTGAGTAAAATTGGTACGTTCATAAATGTCGCAAACCAATTTAGATGGAGGACAACATTATTTTTCTTGCCATGTGACTATTTAATGTTCAATGCTAACAATATCATATAAATAAAACTTCACAGGAGGTAATTTAATAAGATTTGAAAAAGAAGAGGAGGGAAATAGAAAGACTAGTGCAGTACAGAAACTTAAGTACTGGTAGATACTTTAAAAATATTCAATAGAATGAAAATGCTCTAGGCAGTTTTTAAAGCTTTTAAAAGTTGAGAAAGACAGGTATCTGGAGGAAGAAGATTCTTTTGTGAGAGAAAGATTGCATTGTTCCTTCCTCAGCTGTAATTGGGCAGGGCCTTGCTTCAATTCAGCTCAACTCAACAGATGAAAGTATCAAAAAGTTTAACTTTTGGAACCAAGTTAATTTGTTTTAATGCACCATATTTCATTTTTATTGTTACTATCATATGTTGCTTTGGGTGCTAGTTTACTCAGCTATGGAAAGTGGGGAGCAAGTACTTATAAAGATATTTTATTTGCTTTTTAAGATCATTTATGCCACAATTAATCATAAGAGCTGATTAATTTGTTTGCTTGCTGCCTTCAGCTTCTCCTCCACAAGATTTCAAGTTTTCAAATGAACTTTCCAATCCCGATCACAGTTAAAGTTATCGTTCAACTTCAGCATACAGAATATTTTAAGCCAAATCTTGCCAAAATATAAATGAACATAAACCAAGCAATGGTTTAGGTACGTGAAAAAGAAATCTATTTTCAAAACAGAACATTTAGAGAACTCCAGAATGTTCCATTGTTCTTAGGAATCCCACTTGATCACTGAGGTCTATTTATCTCCCTTGGAAGCTTCTTTCATATCAGAAAACCAAGATAATATTAAGCAGCCTCTTGAAAGCACATGTAATGCAACTTATGCAGAAAAGTATTTGTTTGTTGGTATAGTATTAGTATTTTGTGTTTTTTACATAGAGGGAAATCTCTACAGAAGAGAGAAACCTCATATCAATACTTGCGGCAATAAACTACTAAAACTTTAAAAAGTGAATTAAAAAAAAACAAAGGACAAAAATACATATTATCTCTCCTAGTTGAATACTTACAAAACTATTGCAACAATAATAGCTTCTCCCTTTGCAAAGTAGGCCCAAAATGTATGAGTTTGAACATCTATTTACAACCCATTTTTTGTCAAACATTACGTCTATGAAAGAAAAAATAGTTAACAGGTTAAACAAAAGTTAAATTTCAAAGCCTTCTGTTAACAGACTGTTATTGTAATTTATTCATAAAATGTTTATATGGTTTTGCATTAAACACAAATATATGTTCACCACCAAATTCTATCTGCTAGTTGAAAAATTGTATTGCCATTATCCAACAAATCATTCAATCATTTGCATTTGGTAAAGAAAACCCATTGCCCAGGCCTTTGAAAGTTTGGGTGGAAATTTAGTCCAGACCCAAAAGTAGGTTCCAGGCCAACTCCAGGATGTGTTTATCTTGAAGGGGGCACCAAATAATTTTGCCTTTTTGTGTTTTTTTCTGGTGAGACCAGTCTATCAAGGCAACCTGGTCTACCCAACTATGGGACAGAGCATACTGTTTCTGCTTTCACCTTTCAGCCCCAATCCAGGAACTTTTGCCTTTCTGGTTTGCACCTTTGAGAAGCAGTAAGGGCCAAAGGCCTTTGTCTCTCTCTCTTTTGCCTGGGTTTAGGTGGTAGTGAGGATAGTGGTGCAATCCCTGGGTAAAAGCCTTGCATAGGTGGTAGGAATTCATGCTCAAAATGGGAATGGTAGGATGCAGTAGTGGGTTCTGGATCCCATTGCAACCGGTGCACTGCGATGGGGCCGGGCGTTCTCGGAAATGTGCGCTGCGCACGCATGTGCACGCCACCGCCCAGTGACACTCAGCTGCTCGGCAGAGGTCGCACAGGCACCACACGCTGTGCGCGCATGCGCAATTGGCCCATTTGCCTCAAAAAACGGTAAGGAACGCGGGCAGGTAGGCCCACCGTTCTGGTACAGTGTGGCCGCTGCTCCCAGCTACCACCGGTACGCCCATACCAGGCTATACCACCTGGAACCCACCACTGGTAGGATGGATTAATAGGACTGGGATAAGAAGCCAGCCAGATGCAATTGACTAGTATGGGAAAAATAGTTTGCTTTAATAGCGTGATTGGCTGCGTTTTTAGTATTGTAAGTGAGATTTAGGATATCTTGTTTCTTATTATTTTGCTGCTTTTCATTTTTTTGTATGGCAGGGTTTGTATGTGTTTCCTTTCTTTGTTTGGGCCATGTTTCTGCAGATGAGAAGAAGATATTTCAGGCATATTGTGGACATTCCATCAGAAGAAAGGGGCATCCAGACTAAATATATGGAACACCGAAGTCTCCTAAGTGCTTGAGATAGAAATTCTCCCTGCCCCGTATTGACACCAAAAGCACACAGTAGTTTAAGAAATGATTGCAAGCGATAAAGCACAGGAGCAGGAGCTTAAGCGACGGTGGTGCAAGATCTTGAGTGAATATGAATGAGTGTAAAAGCAGAAGTAGCAACCAGAAAGAAGCTGTATTAGGTCTATTCTTGATGGCATTTCCAGAAAACTACTTGTAGTGGTGCAGTGGCCTAAAGGTGGAGCTCTCGCCTCACAATCAGGAGGCTGTTCGATCCTCGGTAGCAGCAGAGATTTGTCTCTGGGCACAAATATCAGCTGCGAATTCTGCATTGGCGATAGGAAGGGCATCCGGCCAGTAAACACTCAGCTCCATTCAGTTGCCCTGACTCCATCCAGATGCAAGGGATCATTAAAAGATTTTTCCCCCCACAGAAAACGACTGAACTGTTGGGCCGTTTGGCAGATGGCCAACAGTTTAGTACCCCTGACTAGTTTGACTTTACCTCATGTAAACTATTTGTGCAGTGGANTCCTAGGCCCCTGGGTGGGGCCCGACTAGTAACCAATGCCAAATCCGGCGAAACAACTGGCCGCTGTGATACAATTGTATAATAATAATAATAGGCTAACTTGTATTTCCCAATTCCATGAAATTGGAGAAGTAACACTGGCCTATTTTGGATGTAATGATAAACCATAGTTTAGCATTAAGGGAATAAGATTTTGTGTCTGTGGATTTATCATCCTTTCCAACCTTAGCATTACTATAAAATTCAGAGGATTCACTTACTTAAAATAATAGCAGTTTTAGTAACTGTGATTAATCTTTGCTAGTTTCACTAAACCATAATTTAAAATAAGCAGAACCTCTACTTTGGACATTAGTTTAACTATTGTTTAAAAACCTTTGCCACTTGAAGATGTGTGGACTTCAACTCCCAGAATTCCCCAGCCAGCCATGCTTGGGGAAGGTTGGGAAATATTTATTTCAACCAAGCTTACTTGACTCCTTGTGACTGTTTAGTTACAGCCAATCCCCCCCACCCTCCCTGACCATATTGCTGGTCAGAATGAGTTTTGCTGTGGCTTCCTTATCACTGGAAGTGGCTATTGTTCTTGATAACATCTAGCTGGCATAGTGGACTTTCCTCTATACTGAATAGAAGGAAAGCCCAGTTTGTGTGCACAAGTTTATCCTGTTGGCATGCAGCCAGATTCATTATTACATAAAGCTGGAAAAAATACGCAGTGATTATTGGCACAATGCAAGCTCATGTGTCTAACTTATCCCAGAACTTGTTTGCTATAATTTCATTAATAATCCATGTGCAAATAACTGTTGTAGCTTTTGCCAAATTTCTGGAGACACAAGTGATGCTAGTAAGCTACATCTGTTTGATGTCTAGGGTTTTTTTCCATAACATTTTTGAGCTTTATGAAGAGTTTATATGTTCGTTGCATCATATACTGTCACACTCCTGATCATCCCAGAATGCACTTTCTCTTTCCATTCTGTGTTTGAACTCTCTTGCTAGCTTTCCTGGAAACACTCTTTTTATGCTTTATCAGGAATACAATGTCTATTTAAAAAAAACCTAAGAACATACTATCCATGCAAGGCTTATCTGGAAAACATGACTTCGAAGTCAAGGCATTGTAAAGAATGGATGGGCAGTCTCCTGGAGGACAATTTTAAAAGGCTTGTTTAAAATTATTTGGGCTTTTGTTGGAAATGATTGATCAAATGTTGTAACACCTGTTTCAGGCTTAGTTTGTTGGGAAATCTTCCTGCCAAAGTTTGGCATACGTGGTTAGAAAGGACTGGCAAAAAAAAAAAAAGGATGTTCAAGGGGTCACATATGAGGATGTAACTTCAGTTTTTCCACTCTTGCTTTAAAGGGAAGTATAAGAGTTGCGTATTTGTAATCTACAATGCAGAGAACAGAATTGTGAAGGCAGTAGCGGCAGTCTTCATAAGTAGAAGTAGAACTTTGAAGAAACAATATTGACCCTTTTTGATTTTGGGAAGACTCCTGAGAACAATAATAATATAGCTAAGAAAAGAAACAAATGGATCATTGAACAAATACACTCATTGTTAAAACTTGAGGCACAAATAATTGAGCTCAAATAATCCTACTTTGGACACATTATGTAAAGAGTTGAAAAGTCTAGCTCTCTTGAGAAATCTTTCATGCTAAGAAAGATAAAAGAATGATAGCGGCAAGGTGGATAGACTTGATTACAGTGGTCATTGGTGCAATGTTGAAAGACCTGAAGAGTGGGATTGGGGACAAATCAATTTGGAGATCTATGTTTATGGCTACTAAGAGTTGACACCACCTTGATGGCACAATTAAAAACCGAAACTTTTAAAGACTTGATCCGGTCCTTGATAATAGAGGCAAATCTGAATGAAATGTAATCTATTATAGATGACACTGTTACAGATGATACTGACAATCTCCTTGTTTCTCAAGACTAGTGTGGAAGCCCGATTTAGAAGCTTGCCATTGACCTATTGTTCAGGAACATCTTTATTGGACTCACTGGGTTTCTCTTGGCTGAACTTCAACAGTTCAAGTAAACAAAAACTCCTGTGCCCTGGAAAAAAAAATGCAGTTACTTTTGAAAGCTTGATAGCTCTCAATTTGCAGATGTGTATATTCTTTCAAAATATTTGGCAGGGTTTCAAGAAAGAATATGTTGCTTTCAGAATCGCTAATAGTGTATAAAATCCAAATATGCGCCATAATTAAAAACTGTTTAAATATATAATGTTATTAGTTGCCTGAATTCTAATATAGTTCAGTGCAGAAATTCTGAAAACTCTTGCACTTCACTGTTTTCTGGAAAGAATCAGAATTGTTTCACATGGCTTGAGTTACTTAGTGGCTGGCTGAAACTTTAAGCTCCTTAATATTTTGCCCTATTTGTTCCGCTGTTGTATATCTGATTCTACATCTGGTCTTCGGTAGAATGATAGCAGATATTTCCTCTCCCCCCCCCCCCACACCTCGGCCTTTCTCTCTCTCATGGTCTCTGTGCAGTTTTCAAATGGATTTTGGGTATTTTGGGTAAGCAAAATGTCCATCATCCTTAGTGGCTATTTTACTCCATTCAAAGTTTTAAGTGCTTATGAAGATAGTTGTGGCATCCGTACATTTTGATCCGTAAGGCAACTGAAAAAGGATCTCAATTGGAAACATAACATAATAAATAAGGCATTTGTTTAACAAGATCATGAACAATTAGAAAACAGAAAATACCCACAGAAAATGACCACCACAATTTACAATCATAATGAGCAGGCTGCATTATAGTCACAGGCTCAGCCTGTGACTATAATGCAGCCTGCCCATTATGATTGTAAATTGTGGTGGTCATTAAGTGAGACATCTATATGATCAACTTGCTTAATGACCATAATCTCTGCTTTCTTCCTTGTGGTCATTAAGCAGAGCATGGGGGCCTCAGAAGATGGGGGTAGGCCTTGGGAGGCCTGGCAAAAGACTTGGCCATACTGCAGCACCTCTCCCAGCTCCCCCAACCTGTGAGGCACCCCGTGCTTCCCTTCCCGCCCCACTGAAGCCCACACCCTTGGGTCTGCCTCTCACTTGGCTGTGTCCCTGCAGACCTTGGATTTCCTTCCTGACTCACTGGATCGCACAACTCCTTCCTTGATCCACTAATCTTTTCCAAAGATCACCTTCTGGAACAAGAAATGACCAATTTAACATGTGGTCTTCTTATACGGAGGCCATAGGGTGCCATCCTGGAAGTGAGCATCATTTTTGGGAGCAGCTGCAATTCACAGATTGCGAGAATCAAAGCTACTTTCAAAATGGCAACCGCTTCCAGAAGGGCAGCATGCAGCCTCTGTATATAGGAAAGCTTGGCAGATCGGCAGCTTCTTTTTCCCAAAGACGATTTTCAGAAAAGGTAAATGAAGCGAGATGTGATGGGGGCATGGAGGAGGGAATGACATCCTGTGGAATAGGAAGCAACCCCAAGGCCTATAGGGACTCGGTTGGGTGAGGTGGTAGACCCAAGAGACCCAAAGGGGTGGGGTATTTGGGAAGATAAGTGGGAGAAGCTGGCTGCAGCATCCTTGTAAGGCCAGGCTGATTGCCAAATGCTCAAATTTTGTTAATGTGACCATGTGAACAGCTGCCATAACTTCAGGTACATGTCATAAGTCCCTTTGTTCTGCCTCATTATAATTTCAAACAGTCGCTGAATGAACACTTGTAAGACAAGAAACTGCCTGTATTTGAAACAACCTGGAAGCTTCATACTTGCATTAAAAAGCAAATCCCCTTTTCCCAAGTGACTCATTCTCGATGCCAATGTTTATTTATTCTAATATGATATTATATTCCGCTAACCAAAAGAGATATAATCTATAGCCCCAAAGGCTACACAAAAATCCAAAGCCTTAGGCATATGTTTCTCTGAACTCCTTCAAAAGCTTTCTTTAAAATATAATTCTTTACACAACAGGAAAAGGTATACTAATTTCATTAATTAGATCGCACAGATTAGGCCTCCTCCGAGTTCCATCCGCCAGTCAGTGCCGACTGGCGACTACGCGGAGGAGAGCCTTCTCAGTAGCAGCTCCGACCCTTTGGAACGATCTCCCCGTGGAGATTCGCACCCTCACCACCGTCCAGACCTTCCGCACAGCCCTTAAGATCTGGCTATCCCGTCAGGCCTGGGGATAAGATTCTAATTCGCCCCCACCCGAATGTTGAATGAAAGTTGTGTTTTATTGCTTTATTTTTTTTCTTATTCACGTATTGTCTTATGTTTTGTCTTGCACTCCCCCTCCCATGAATTGTAAGCCGCCCTGAGTCCCCCTCATGGACAAGGGCGGCCTATAAATCACAAATAAAATCTAAAAATCTAAAAAATTAAGAATAATATTACTTGTTTCTATTAATCGAATTTAAGCTTCATCAGATTTAATACTTGCTGTAATCTTGCACAGTTTTGGGATTATGCCCTTCTGTATACCATTCAAAGGCCAAATGAGAGAGAGGGAGGGAGAGTGAGTATGATCAATTACATCCTTGGTAACTATATTGAACTATTGAACTCTACTTGGATGTGACATTGAATAAATAATTTTCTCATCTCTATAAACTGTGAATTTATACTGGGAAAATTTGCTGTGCTAATGATTAACAAAATGGTTAACACACGTATGATGTCTTTTACATCTCCAGTAAATGAGTACGCCAATTCTTTCACCATCTTAGGTTTGGCATTCATCCTGTGGCAGGTCGTATGCCTGGACAACTGAATGTACTGCTTGCAGAAGCTGGTGTACCATATGACATTGTTCTAGAAATGGATGAAATTAATGAAGATTTTCCAGGTGAGAGAAAGATGATAACTTGGTTGCATTTTTGCTCTAAATGATTTGTTTTTTTCTAAAAAGTAGTTGAATATTATACTAGTTAGTATACATTAACTAGTGTAATAATTCCAAAAGACGCTTTACTTGCAACAGCTTACATCCTGAGATGCTACTTTTAGCACCATTAAACAACATCTTTAAGAACCGTGATGGTGTGTAGTGGTTAGAATGCAGTATTGCAGGCTAACTCTGCCGACTGCCAGCAGTTCGATTTTTACCAGCTCATGGTTGACTAAGCCTTCCATCCTTCCGAGGTCGGTAAAATGAGGACCCAGATTGTTGGGGGCAATATGCTGATGCTATAAACCACATAGAGAGGTCTGTAAAGCACTGTGGAGCAGTATATAAGTCTAAGTGCTATTGCTATCTGCGTGTCCCAGGTCTTGGGAAGGATGACTGTGTGACCAACCATAATATACTAATAGGGACCTTGAATCCAATCTCAAAACTTCTGGAGTGCTGCTTGAAAATCACCATGAGTCAATAGCAAGAGGCAGTTTTACTTGGAACTGATGTTAGGAGTGTAAACCTGCTACAGTCAAATTTGAATTCTGTTGACTTAATGAATAAATACGACTATAATGTCTTCTTAGGAACACTGCAAACAAATTTGCCTTTGCCTTTTTCTGGATTTTTGTGTGTTTAAATCTAACATAATGTTGAGATTTCCTGACAACTTCCCATCCAAATACAAGCCATATCTAAACTGCTTAGTTTTGGGGAATATGCCAAAATCAATTAAGATTACAACCTAATAACAATACAAACATAAAAGACAAATAAGCAACACTCATTAATCAGAACATTTAAAAACAAGCAAGACCTCTTAAGAACTTAAATTCTGCCTAACTTAGTTCTCCAACCTTTGACAAATAGTGGTGCTGAAACTAGTGTAGCTCCCTTAGCAGAAAATTGCATTGGGAGCAATGATCAAGAAAGTTTGCTCTTGTACACCCCAACAACTAACCTAAATAATAGTAGTTTGAAGGTAGTACTCACTACTAAAACAGCTATTCTTTATATCAAAGTTTTGCAACTTGAAGAAACAACAAGTTTTAGGGTGTGCCAATAAAACTTGCCCACTTATAGTTCTTAGTGGGGTGAGGGTTTCAGTTTAAGAGAGATCTAACCCAGAATTTGTTACTAATAATAACTGGAGTTCTAGTCATTAATTAATATGTGTTTTTTCCTTGTATTTTTATTGTAGAAACGGATCTGGTCCTTGTCATTGGAGCTAATGACACAGTTAATTCAGCTGCCCAAGAAGATCCAAATTCTATCATTGCTGGAATGCCTGTTCTTGAAGTTTGGAAGGCAAAGCAGGTGAGTGACAAAATATTGTAATAGAAATTGTTCTGTATGCAGAAGTAGGCAGGCAGGTACTGAGACGAGGCAGGTTGAACAGTAACAAACAATTTTTATTCTAACAAGTTAACAAGGCAAGTGCAAGTCAACTCTTGAAATGGCAACAACAACATTTGCCATCTGACAGCTCTTTATATAGGAGTTGTCAGACGGCTGGGCCAATAGAAAGGCTGCATTCTCCCGCTCTCTGGCTGCTTGTGTCTTAGCCACTGAGGAGCAGCCGGCAGCCGGCAATGTCTTTGGGCAGTGCCGTAGCCCCAAGGACTTAACAGAAATCCCATGCTTTATTGATTTCTTTAAAGTCATTTACATATTTAGAAATCTGCTAATATCCCACAGCTCTTCTTCTTTTCTTTGAACAGCTTAACTAAAAAATGCTAATAAGTGTAGATGAGTACCTAAGATGATAAGGAAAAGAACACAATTATTTGAAAATTATCTGCTGGGGGCAGTGCCATTAGCACCCCTCCCCCCACCTATTTTCTAAACCCTTCTGCCTTTTGGAAAGGCCTTAAAACCTGACTTTGCCAGTTGGCCTGGGGTACATACCAGTGGTGGGTTGCAGGCAGTACACCCCGGTATGGGTGTACCGGTACCCGGTATACGGGTACTGTTCCATTACGGTGCTCCGGAGGGCCCACCCACCCGCCCTAGCTCCTTACCGTCTTTTGAAGCTGTTGGCTCATCTGTGCACGTGCATGGCGTGTACAGTGCCTGCACGACACTCCGC